TTATTATTATTATTATTATTATTATTATTATTATTATTATTATTATTATTATTATTATTATTATTATTAGTTATTATTATTATTATTATTATTATTATTATTATTATTATTATTATTATTATTATTATTATTATTATTATTATTATTATTATTATTATTATTATCGTTATTATTATTATTAATTATTATGAATTGTTTGTTTGCAATTTTTTGAAAATGAGGAAAGGATGAGTGTTTGATCATATCTGTTTGAGAAATTTGAATAAAATCGCTTTCTATTGCAGAAATACGGACGATCGTTACGGCAAAGATCTAAATTTAGTCTAGGACATCAAGGGTCCGTGGTGACGGAAGAGTTGCATCATCAAATGGTAGAGATGCGAGATGGATGCCCGAAAGCTGAGGATATTCTTCATGTGTTACGTGATCGTGTGGCTCTGTTACCTGGTACAAGAGATAGAAATGGTAGGGCCGTGATTATTTTCCCAGCTCGAGAAAATACTACGCCGATCAATTCCGATCATATCCGGAATATACTTATTTATCTTCATGCTGTTACGGCGTTAGTTTCTACAAAACATTTTTGAAAAATGAAATTTCAGAAATTTTGAAGGGTAGAAATAAGTTGATTTCAAAAACTGAACCTTTTTTAGTGATTGACAGTTAGTGTATAATTTGCAGAACCTGTTATTAGGATTCTGATTACTAAATATCCGTGCAGTGCATTTCTGTGCATATCAGATACTATGATACCTTATTAACTTCCTGTAAAAGATCAAGCAGACATCAAACACTTGCCCTATTTCACCTAGGGTTGGTGGGGAAGTGAAAAGGGGGGTGGTAAGTGGTAAGGGGTGGTAAGTGGTAAGGGTAAGTGGGTAAGTGGTAAGTGTAAAGTGCATTGAATAAAATTTTTATGACGCAAGAGAAAATGAGTAAACTGCTACATGGATATTAGTTAGATGAATTATTTGTAGAAAGGAGGTCATATACCAAACTATAAAACAATTACTAATTTAAATACCTCGAATGGTCGCTTGAGCTTTTCAGAGACGATTATAAGGATCGTGGATTTACGATCATCATCGATATGCGGAAAGGTACAACATGGAATAATGTTAAACCTATTCTCAAATGTATACAGGTAAATAGGGATGCTTTATTTCAAGAGGATATTTAGTAATGATTAATTTCTTATGACGAAAGTCCTCCTTGTCTTTTTTTGGAAATAGGGAAATTCCAACGAAACTTCAAAAATCTAGAGTTGGAATGTAACTGAAACAATTTGTAATATTCTTCACAATTTGAAATTTGTCATTAGTGGAACTCCTCAAAATCACGGCTATATGTATGTATTGAAAGTTTTTTATTTTTATTATCACAATAAACGCAATGAAGATTAGGTGTCTGAGATGAATGAATTTGATCTACTAATTATAGGAGCATTTTCCTGCAGAAGTGCATACTGTTTTGATAATTAAACCGGACAAGTTCTGGGAAAAGCATAAAACATCGGTGTCAAGTGGAAAATATAAATTTGATATTCAAATGATTTCGGTCGAAGGACTTACGCGATATGTCGATTCATCGCAGTTAACACGTGATTTAGGTGGTTCACTGCTTTATGATCACGACGAATGGCTTGAAACAAGATTGGTAAAATAGTTTCGACTTATTGTATTTTTCAGTTATAGTATATATACCATGCCATGGTGTGATATATATTATATATATATATATATATATATACATATATATCGTCGTGTATGATATCACGGTATTATTTTTTAATGCAGGCGAAAATTTCATTTTATTAAGCATAAAAATCTACTTAATTGGGACGAACGCAAATTTATTTTCTATAGCACGGATTTATCGTAACTATTTCTTTACAATGAAGAAGATAATTGTTATCAAACTAGGAATTGGAAAGGTTGATATGGCAAACGATTGATGTTATGCATAATTTCGAAAATTATCGTGAAGAAATGAAAAATGGTGAAATGCCAATTGATGTTGCTACAGCCGAACGTGCCACAGCAGCACACGTTGTGCTGAAGAAGAAAATCTTAGGTGCACCAATCGAGCGAATTCAACATGACGTTGAACAAGTAAGTGCATGAAAATTTGACTTACTGCGAATGGTTTCGAGTCAGATTAGTGACTTTTGGGCTTTACGGGAGAATTTTGCGTTTTCATTTGTTAGTTTTTTCTCACTTTTTTTTTAGGTGCAACAAAGGATATCAGGTTTTATGGGCGAAACACCCGATGATAGTTATAATTCATCAAATGGACTACTAACAACTAATCCAGACCTTGCTGCTGCCCTTCCTCATCTTGCATCTCTTGTTAATTCGCTTCGTACCTCAAAGTTTGTTTAATTTTTTAAATAATTTGAAATTGATCCGAATGAAACATTTCTTTTTCGTTTTCATTCTTTAATACTTATTTTTAACGTTGAATTTTTCAGAGATGAAATTTTCGTGCAGTGGGAAACACGTAGACAGAAGCTGGATCATTGCTATCAACTAAAACTTTTTGAACAAGATGCAGATAAAGTGAACGTTTTTATAATTGCTTTTCGGCAAAAAAGTTGCTGCCCTATCATCTATTATCTTTTCTCAATCTTCTTTGTGTCCCAAATTTGTTTAATTTTCTGAAATATTTTTTTTTCTCTCTCATATCTGTGAGAAAGTAATTCATACATTTAGATGTTCGACTGGATTCGCAGTCATTATACTTTATCAATGCAACGACTTCTTGAAATTGGTGATTCTGAGCAGTCAACTTCGATGTTGCTTGCAGAGCATCTTGATTTCATCGCAGCGGCCAATGTAAGATTTTTTCTGAAACCCATTCTAGTTTTTTTAAGCGAAGCGAAGAAAATCTTGCGAATAGTTTCGTTTTTTCTTACCCGAGGTATTTCGAAGCTTTTATCCATGTTCTAACATTGATAACATAAAATATGACACCAAATAATTGATGAATTGTGCAGAATACTGAAGTTAATGTATCACACGTGATGACAGTTGCCAAGCGTCTTCGTGAAATTGGAAACTATGGAAAAGTACAAATTGAAAATGTAGCAATGCATTTGGATGACGAGTGGCGACGTTTCAAACAGATCAATGAACAGCGTTCTCGCCTTCTTGATTTGACGCTTTCTTTTCATCATAAAAGTCACATTGTAAGTTTTTTGTTCCAGGATTTAACATAGTATGGTTATTATATCCTGTTATCGGAGGGGTAATGTTGACAAAAACTTTTTGGTTACACTTAAATTTGTGAACCTAGGGAGTTTCTGGCATAG